TCTCGATATTAAGTGACAGAGAAAACCCAAAATCCAGAGAGAGAAGTGCTCGTGTGATACGTGATTGGAGAAGATGAGCATATATACACTGATGGCAGTGTGGTTTTTACCGGGAAACCCACCTGTGACTGTAGCGCATTTTTTTTCATTAGAGGAAAAGGATGACGTAGAAGTTGTACGCGCTGGAGTAAGGTGAAGAAAGACACTCGCTTGTCTGGATTGGAAAATGAGTTACACTGCAGCTACAGTGAGTCAAAAGTCAAAGTATAGTGGCAACTGGCGACTGGTGAAGATTGTAAACAAAATTCAACCTCATACTATTAATATACGTACGAGCATCGTACCGTACGCCGAATTTATCTAAATTTGTGAAATAAAAATTGATTGTAGAAAATAATTTCAAATGAAAATATTATTTTGGAACAGATGAATTGTAATTTATAATATGTAGCGTCCCTTTTTTTTTTTTTTTATGGCATAGTATCGAACATAGTATCGAACAGTTCAATAACAAAATATTAAAATCTCATTTCAAATCAGTTGCATATATATAAAAACTACCACAATCTATTGTTCAATGTCAAAGATAAACATTTAACCATAAATCTGATATCACAGTTAAATACAACCTTATACACCCTCAGCAGACATACAATCTACACTACTACTAACTTTTACACACTTAATTCCACAAGTGGAAATCCTTGCACTGTTGCTTTATACGCTAAGCTCGGAAACCGACAACTCCGACCCTGATTCCATCCCTACTTCATCTGTTAATAATAAATAGTGAGTACATATAACTAATTAGAATAAAAATTAAGTTACAAATATCATATGCAAACCAATATAAAACCTCATATTTTTATATGTATTCTCTTTCTGTAGCCTAAGTCATACTTTCTTACTACCATTTAACTACACAGGATTAATACCTATCATCCGGTATTTTAAGTGTTACTCATACTAGGTGTGACCATCCTCCGACATCACCCCTTCGACCCGGGTTAGGCCAGTCAACCGTACAAATGTTCTCATCCGTCACCAATATCAGCGACCATCAATGAACATTTTATCTCTCGACCCTTAACAGGCCACACACACACACCAATACCATTTTCTCTTGTCACCAATATCGGCGACCCAACCCCTTACCCGTCGGAGTCCCCCAACTATTACTACTATCGGCGATCAACGTACTCATTCTAGATAGCGATAACCAATATCGGCGTCCCCCAGCGCAACCACCTCAAGGACAATTTCACCCCGTTTTTACTCAAACTGCCCATTAAACCAGCATAATTGATTTTTTCCCCTCACTAGTATACCATTCTAAACCGTTCCTACACCACAACATTGTCCTGAAACTCTCCTATACTTTTAATCTGTGTACAGAACCTACACACGTCTTCCCATACGACACACACTTACCCTTAGCAGTCATACACCAGTAGTGTTCACTTACCAAACTCTTAAATTTACAGTAGCTATACCAACCTATATGCACATGCAACTCACACCTGCATACCCCACATCTACATCAATACACCTCTATCCCAATCCCTCACACACACGCGCTACACACCTCCCTTTCCTACTCCCTAATTTTCAGAATACACACACTCCACCATTCCATG